TATATATATATATATATATATATATATATATATATATATATATATATATATATATATATATATATATATGTTCCATCTTTGGATATCTTACATCTGAAGTATCTAATACCATTTACACAGGGAGTTGTCAACAATGAAACACTGGGCTATTTCATAGGGAGAGTCTTCCTCTTTTTGACACGGCTTGGAATTGATAAAGATCGATTGCGCTTCAGGCAGCACTTGCCAAATGAGATGGCTCACTATGCTGCCGACTGTTGGGATGCAGAGATAGAGTGCTCCTATGGCTGGATTGAATGTGTAGGGATTGCTGATAGATCTGCTTATGATTTACGGGCTCATTCAGTAAGTTACGTATATCTCATTTAATCATAATTGCTCTAGCAAGTTCTAATAATAGACTTCCTACGTGCTATATATTTGTCATAACCATTACCTATTTTAAGACAATTCATAAGAGGTATTTAATGGAAAGTAAGAATTTTGATATTGTATTGTCTCAACTGCATTCTCAATGCATGTCTGACTGTATTTGGAAAATACTTATTCAACTATATTGCTTCATTTTGATTATTTGTTCAAGGTTTAGTATCAAACACAAACTTTATGGATGGATATTTAATCCCGAGTTGTTGACAGGAGAAAAGTGGTGTTCCTCTTGTTGCTCACGAGAAGTTCCCAGAACCTAGGGAGGTAGAGGTAAGCTTCTTTGTTTTACTTTGTCTTTATTCCCTTTCTTTTGGAATTTTACGTATGAAAACTTGAGATTTTGCCACCAAGAGAAGTATGGAAATTATAATATTTTTGTAAATATACTTCCTTTAGATGCTGCCACTCAAGCTTTCATAGAAAGTTTGTTTGATTGTTGGTGTTTATATCTCAGAAACTAGTTATTGTCCCATCAAAGAAAGAACTTGGTCTTGCATTTAAGGGCAGCCAAAAGATGGTGGTTGAAGCACTGGAGGTGAGTGCAAAGATTGCTTGCCTCTAACTACCTGTTAATTTCTGTGACAGACATTTATTTTTGCATTTGTTTATGCCACATCTCTCCATGGACAGGCTATGAGTGAAAAGGAAGCACTGGAAATGAAGGCCACTTTGGAATCTAAAGGTGAAATGGATTTCCATGTCTGCACTCTTGGAAAAACTGTTTCCATTATGAAAAAAATGGTGTCAATTAGTATGGACAAGAAGAAGGAGCACCAAAGGGTCTTTACACCATCTGTTATTGAGCCATCTTTTGGCATTGGACGAATAATATACTGTCTGTTTGAGCATTCTTTTTACACAAGACAAAGCAAAGCAGAGGATGAACAGCTGAATGTCTTCAGTTTTCCTCCACTTGTGGCTCCCATCAAGTGCACCGTCTTCCCATTGATCAAGACCCAAAAGTTTGATGATGTGGCCAAAATAATTGCAAAATCACTTACAGCAGCTGGGATTTCTCATATTATTGACATCACAGGTATGCTTATTGGAAAAAATATCAAAATAAAACAAACTAGGTCCACCATATTCAGTTTTGATTAAATTTATCTTCACATGCCATACATCTTGGTCAGCTACTGGTTGAAGAATTTACTGTTCACTCGTTATAATAGATGTGTGTTTGTTTATCTATGCTGGCTAGAATAATCTTCTGATCATATATACATGAAATTGATAACATGACAATCACATAAATACCACTGTTTTGCATGGTGATTCAAGTAATTTTAGATCATATGGGTGGACATTAAAATCAGTTTCATATATTTGCCGATTGTTGGGATTTTTTCAGGTACCTCCATAGGAAAAAGGTATGCAAGGACAGATGAGATTGGTGTCCCCTTTGCCATTACTGTCGACTCGACGACAAGTGTGACGATACGAGAGAGGGATAGTAAGCAGCAGATCCGTGTAAGCATTGATGAGGTAGCTTTGGTCGTGAAGGAGGTAACAGATGGACAGAGCACCTGGGGCGATGTGATGTGGAGATATCCAACACATTCGGCTGCACATACTGAAGAGGAATGAACCAGTAATTACACTTTCAGTTCATTGTGTTTTTACCAGAGTGATTATTGCTAAACTTGGAATTTCTTATTGCATCAAGTATTGAGATGGCTTGACCGCTGACATTTACAAACATTTACTTTGGACATATGGATTACATAACTTGCTGCCATCATTATTATAAATTGTGGTTGGCTTTCTCGAATATGAAGCTTATCATTAACAACCCAATTTGCAGCATGGTCCAGGTCATTGTGAAAGTGAGGACATATCTTGGTACAACGGTAAGCCATCAGTATTCATTTACAAACATTTGCTTTGGACTTATGGATCATTATAAATTGTGGTTGGCCTTCTCATATTTCAAACTTATCATATAAATTGTGGTCGGCCTTCCTCATATATCAAAACCTATCATTAACACCCCAATTTTCAGCATGCTCCAGGTCATTGTGAAAGTGAGGATGTATCTTGGTACAGCGGTAAGCCATCAGTATTCATCCTAAAAGGTAAGACTGCATGCGAGATGCTAATCGCATGATAAAAAGGTTCAAGACTTTTCCGTCTCAGGATGTTTCAATGTCTGCTTGCTTTGCTCTGCTAGCTTGCGGAATATGTTCTGCAGCAGTTTCCAATTTTTGATTCTTGATTCATAGACCACAACATTCATAAGCACAAGGCTGCTGGGAAATCGGCTTGAACTTGTGGAGAAATGTTAGTGTCCCAACCTTAATATCAACACTTCAACACAAATGAGATCTGGTCGTGTTTTATTTCTTTGATTACTGCTGGAACTCGAGGGGAAAAAAATTGTGGTTTTTTGGCTTCTTGTTGGCTTTTCTTCGGCATCGATTTAGTTCTTGATTTGTGTTAATTTACATGTACCGGTTAGAAGAATCCTCCTTGTATTGGTTGATGTCGTCCACTGTTTCATAATGAAAGGCTCAACATTTATCCATGATCCATCCTTTGAAGCGGATGGAGTTCCCACTTCTTGCTCCCTAATTCCAGTGGGAGGATAACTTGAGTCCTAAAAAAATGGCTGCATATTGATGCACGTCTACGTCAGAATTCTGGTTGTAGAGACACTAATATATGAGATTTGGACGCCATGAATATGCACATCTTTGAAAGCTTTGAATCATTCACATTGCAGCCAATAAGAAAGCACAATCACAAGATGCCGAAACATGGAAAAGTAGAGGGAAACAGGATTAGGTAATTCTAATGCCGTAAAGGCGATAGAATGACAGTTCATTATACAATATCAACAGCATATGTATTAATCATTCCCAGATAGAACTATTTCATCAACTACACTGGTACGTTAGACGCCTTTAGAAAACTCAAAATGCTAGAAACTGAAATCAAAGCAGCGACATTACCATATCCAATCCTCCGCGGGCTTGCATTAACTGTATATGAAATTGACAGCGCAAGAATACACAATAAACACGTGAGTAAACTAAACACTTTTTGGGCACTCAAAAGCATTGGGAACTGAAAACAAAGTAGAAACATGACCATAATCATAACCAATCCCTGATCCAAGTTTTCGCATTAGCTGTATGTGTAATTGATGAATGTATTTCGTTCTTCTTAGAGAGTACATCAATGCAATAGGCAGCAGCAAGTGACCATTAGACTTGTGGGAGATATTGCAGAAGTCTCTAACTCAATTCATCATGCAAAACAGCAAAATAGAAAACAAAATCATAAAACACTTTGTTATTTTTGAGCTACACGATCTTTTAATTTCAAACACTTTCAGGGTAGATACAGCGCTCATTTTGTTGATAGTTCTTACAGTGGTGACATAAAATTTATTTAGAAACATTGTCCAGTATTGCATGCTCCAGAATATATATACTGTCTTTATCACGGGCTCTCACAAAATTCCATCTCCTGAGATTGATAACCCACAAAGATAATAAGTAACAAATTGCATGATACCATGGATTCTGATAAGTTGTACTAAGTTTAGCTATTTAAAAACTCGTTGCTGAAATTATTTTTGTGCAAATAGCTAAAAGAAGGAATAAGAGTAAAGAATAAACCCAAGCAAGATTTGTGAAACCAGTATCAACAAACTCAATGAAGTTCCAACTATTTGAATGCAATAGACGGGACCTTTTTGGATCAGGCACAGAAAAGGAGAAACAAGAGATTAAATCTAGGGAAAATTGCATATCTTATACTGCAATAATCCTTATTTAACTAATTCATCTCCAATAGTGGCAACTGGCAACCATCACACAGTTGTATAAACTCATTTAACTTATGCAAGCATTCTACAAGTATTTCAGCAGTTCCAATCTAGCTAGTGAGTAACAAAATTATCATTTTCACATTACTTTTCATGTTTCTCTCCCATTTTATTTACCTTTCTTTTGTCTTCCTTTGTAATTGTTTCTCTCTTTGGTTCTGTTTGGTACTTCAAGAGAATAGATCAACGGGAAGTTCAGAGGGTCAACAACTGAGGATAGGATGAATGTGTGCCTTTTTGTGTATTCAGAAAGATGTCAAACATTCATCCATACTTTAATCATAACTATTAGGTTCAAAGAAAATGATATTTGACAAGAGTTAAAGGCATGAACATATTTCAAGGTACCAATGTATTGAATCTCGGATTTTGATGATGAAACCAATTGATAATGATTATGATTTAACTGCGTTTTGAGTGACGCGGGACTACCTTCGATCAAGATTAGACAATTGAAGTAGGAAGAATTGACGTTACGCCGGAGGAGAACATGTCAGAAGATTGTACGTCAAGCCAGATGATCGATGGACGTATTGGCAGAAGACTTCGAACAAAGGATTCGGGCATCGAGCCAAGAAGAGTGGAGTTGCAGCAAGGAGATCGGAGTTGCGGAGGACAACTACCGATTGGGCAACATACCGCAAGAGAGGACGATGCACCTAAGAATCGGATGAAGCGTCGATGGACCAATGACATGTCGAGTAACAAATTCGATTAAGCTTTGTAATAATGGTATCGATCGAAGTAGGATTAGGTTTAATTGGGTTGAAATTGGGCCAACTCAATTAGGGGCCAATTGGGCTCGAATTAGGGCTATGTTGGGCTGGATGAAAGGCCCAAACAATGCCCTGGTGCCACGTCAAGTGGTGGCACCACCAGGGCTGGCGATGGAACCGCTTGAAGGCTCAGCCTCCAAGGTTGAGTCTGGGCGGTGGTACCGCCTAAGTCTAGTAGTCGAGACTCTGCCTGGGTGGTGGTACCACTAAACTAGGCGGTGGTATCGCCCAATGTCAGAGTCAACTGGTGGTGGTACCGCCAGTACCTTGAAAACCGGGGTGATTCAAATTTGGGCTCCAAATTTGAATCATCTTGAGGCCTATAAATACCCCTCTCATCTATGGTTAAACTATACACCGAGAACAAAAAGAGGAAAAATTCTACTGTAATCACTTGAGAAATCCTCCCCTCTAGTTTAGTATTGGTTTAGTCTAAGAGAGGGGTGAGAGGTCCTGTAAAGGTTAACTCTGGAACCTATAAAAGGAGAATTGAGTTGTAAGGGTAGTTAGTCTTCGCCCGGTTGAAAGAAGACTAATAGTGAAAGTCGGTGGCCTCGATGAAGGACGAATCGGGAGTGGACGTAAGTCGGACGACCGAACCACTATAAATTGGTTTGCATTTTACTTTGCTGTTTATCTTTGCTGCAAACCATTTAACTTGCCCACTGCCCTACTTCTTCTCTACATCATTCACTTACAAACGCTTTCAAGTTAAACATATTTCCGATACGGATTTAATCGTCGAACGAATCTTCCATCGAAACAGTTTTCCAAAATCTATGAAATCGTCGTTTTTAACCGCCGCACTAATTCACCCCCCCTCTTAGTGTCGGACTTGATCCTAACACAATGTACATGGATATATATATAATATTGGCAACCTAAAATGACAAATAAGAAATTCCTAAACTTTGTATAAAATCACTCCTCCAATCTACAAAAGCAAATTACTGTATCTTGAAAAGGTAGCATAATGTAGAGAAGTCAGAAATTATTTGATACCTTGCCACATACTGGACAAGTGTCACTTCTTTCCATCCATTCATATATACAGCTCAGATGAAAATGATGAGAACAATTTGCCACAATTTTTGGATTTTCTGGAGTATACTCTGCAAAGAGCAGCCAATACATTTAGATTACTTCCAACTGACAGTGAACGGGTATAAATTTTGTACTCTTGCAAACACACAACAAATGAAAGGAATTACCAGAATTAAAGGGCAAAAAAATAATTTATACTTTGTAACACTTATGGCTACACATGCTTGGTGACCTTTGTCTTAAACTTTATATCATACTTGTACAAAATCAACTCCAGAGAATTAATTACGGTTCTCCTACCATCATCAAAGTTTGGTCTTCAGCTTAAACTTTAAAGCCTTTATTAGAGCATTAATTCAGGTTTTTCTTTTTTCTTTCTTTTGGAATATTATGTCAACATTAATTGGTTTCAACTAAGTGCGAGATATAACATAATTGGAAGAAAATGAAATGAAGAAATGGCTTTTGGTTTTCAAATATTGATCAACCAAAAGATTGAAAGTCTTTTGAACCATTGAAATGTAAAGTAAAAATGGTAGCTTTTGAGGTTAGCAACATTGCATTGGTTATTATAAAATGAAACTTTAGAATGTGGAGAGTGAAGCTGCATGATGAAAGGTTGAGTTTCGGTCTGTAGAGAGTTTACCCTCCAGACATGTAGGGCAGACATCTTCATCTTCTGAGGTTGTAATAACAAAACTTGTATCACATGCTTTTGCAGACAGATATTTCTCAGATTCAGGATGGGTAAGTTTAAATCCTTCTTCAGATTCTGCAATGTTTCGCTTTTTAATGGCACCCAAGGTTTCGACAGCAGAACTGCTACCATTTCTTCTAAGAGTGTGCAGCTCTTCTTGTGTGTGGTTCATAGACTTCTCACGTCTCGAGACCAATCCTTCACGCTGTAAGCGGGAATACCTAGGATCTGCATCATATGGTTGAGGTAAAGGCACAACGTGGTAAGTCTCACATGCTGAATTATCAGGAGCATTTCCAGTTGCTGTCGACAACGACGATGGAGTTGTTATCTGAATCTGGGATGGTACCGAGCGTCCATCAAGTCTTTGAAATGTTGCACCATACTGTAAAGGTAAAAGAAACTTGATTAGGAACTCACCATCAAATAAGCATTAACAACAACCAAAACTATTATGACTATTTGGAAGACTTAGTATTCCACTAAAGTTGGCAATTTCAGAGATCCAAGGGAAGTCGCTAATATGCTTAACTTGAAAAGATTTGTATTAACATTAAAAAATAATGCTAACTAAAAAAAAAAAAGATGCATGAGGCAGCTTCAAATTGATCCTCAAATCTGAGACAATGATTCGGAGTGGTGGAACAGCAGGAGTCCCATTGTTGAGAGTGAGACATCAAACTGAGTCTAGTTACACCACAGATTCTAGATTTTTCTATGTCAGTTATGTTTGACCAAGTTTCGAGTTAGTCAGGGCTAGATTAGTTGCACATTGAGTCACTTTTCCATCCGAATGGTACATGAAATATTATTTTGAAAATTTTCTTTTGGGTACTCTGATGGTGGTCATCATCGTATTTTGATAATCTGTTTGTGGTTGTTCAGATGTTAGTTTGACTGTTTCGAGTTAACCTTGATTATGGGTAGAAGTATAACTCATAAGAAATTAGTTAGGCATTATTTGCTAAAGTTCTATGAAATCCTAAGGAAAAAATGTATGCAATTAGTGATGCAATATAAAGTTGGTTAGGCCCTTGCAATACCCTAATCTCAATTTTAAATGCAACTTCTATAGAGGAAAACAAAGAAAATACACATCCAACCATTATTTCATCTTAACACACTCTCTTGCCAATTGATTCTCACAAAACAAGCAACTGCAAACCAAACCTGACCCAACATACATACAATCAGCACTGGTCCATATTTGGTCGATTCCAGACAAATCTTGGCTGGCCACCTATGAAAACCTATATAACTTCAAGTGACATCCCCATATGCCCCAAAGCAGCTCATATTAGCTTGTTGGAGCATACTTGAACCTATTACAGCTTACGACAGACAAGTTCATCTTTGTTTATGCATTGATCCATCTCCAATGAAGCTTTGATCAGTCCAGAACAGCAAGGAGAAGGTCCAGTCCAGCTTGGAGAGCCTTCTTTCTAGCTCAAGAAAGAGTCCTACTAGATGTAAAAGAGGGTCGAGGTAAGAAGCCAGCTAAACAAGGGAACTTTTGCAACATTATAATCGAAGGAGGAGTTGGAAAAGACCTCCCCAACCCATTTATTGTCAAATTAGGAAACGAGAGGCTGACCAGGCCTTCTAATTATGTCCCACTTCTAGCAACCCTACATTCTCTTTTAAGAAGAAAACATTTTAGATAGAAATTCGTCCTTATTTATAGTATATAGTTTAGTTGGTCAGAAGAATCCTATTTTGAACTAATAGCATCCTAGAGTCCTTGTGTGGTTATAGTCTAGGTTGGGCAAATCTTTTCCTATTGTGAAATTCTGCATGCTTCTTCTAATGAGTTTTTGTAGGGTGACATAATCAACTCTAGCTCCCTTGTCTTTGTTTGCAATAAAATATAACTTGGTTTGTTCTTTCCCTATCTTGTTCTCTTGGTGACACTAAACTCTCTTTGAATTGCTGAGACAAAGAGGCCTATTCTGTCACAAAGAGACCAATTCTGTCACAGGATATATGGCATCACTTCCATAGCTCTCCAATAGCAATACAATTAGAGATTTATATGTTTTTTTCAAAGAAGTATAATAAACTGAAAAGTCCAATATTACCCCATCCAGGAGCCGATGAAAGAAATATCTTAAGCATATGCAGTGCCGATATATGGAATTGCTTGAGTAGGCATGTTCTTCAAAGTCCTCTGGACATAGACAGCAACAGAATGCACCCATAAATCTGGTTCCTAGCAACTCAGGCAAAACACAAATAGTTAAGAGTTCGAAGACAGGTTAAATAGAATCTAATTGAGCAGGTTGTCAAACCTGCAAAAGTATCTTACTCCTGCTAAAACTTTATAGAAACTTATCAAGGACAAATACTTTTCTGCATCCTCCAATAGAATCTTCAAACTGTGATTAAAATAAAAGATGCCCTAATAGCATCCATGAAATCATGACATCATATCCATTGGGTAATTTACAAGAGAATAAATGTTCTGTTATTCAGAATGGAAAAGCACCACAGTGGTATTTGCTCCTCCTGGCTGTAAAAAAAAAATGCAAAATTCAGTTAAGCAAATGAAGAAAAATAAAATACAGTAAAATACAGTAATATGCAAAATATAGTAATCAGACAATCATGACAATGGAATGTGAGCCTAAACCAAAATACACTGCTTTACTACAAAAAGAAAAAAGAACAATAGTAACAAACCAAATATGGTTAGACTGAAAATATGCATACCATCAAAGTTCACTACCTTGCTCATGTGTTTTAAATTGGACATCTATTTACAGTGGCATCATGCACAAATTTTACCAGGAGCATTTAGTTTAAGATGTTCTCCATAAGCATGGAACAAAATCAAGTGACCACAAATTCAGGAACCATACTGTTCGATCAATCCTATGGGCAAGGTTAACTATAAACATCAACATCTGGTCTGAACTTACAGAATCACCATTAGAAAAGTGTCCGGGTTCGAACCAAGGACTGCAGTCACATGAATCTCACATTGTTAATCTAGGACAAAAGCTTATCAAAGTCATCATAAACATTTTCATCATATCCACCAGTACAGAATCAGCTCTGGTGCAAACTATAACACTGAAACACACCAACAAAGACTTAAGAGACTTTCACAACCAGCAATGATTCTACCAATAGTTGTATCCAATTGTAGTAAATTCTTATTAAAGGCATAGCTAAGCAACACTGATATTGTAGCATATGGAAACCAACTTGCTACCATTTAAATTCATTCAACTAAAGAATAAACTTTCAAGTTTCAACCAAGGAACTCTTTTTCGCCTAGATCTTATTTACTGATGATCGATATTTATCGGTCCAGGTGTAAACCCCAACCCATTTCGGGTGGTCCAAACTGGGTCATATATAAAAAAATAAAAAGAAAGAATAATCTCGCCCTAATCATCCTAATCACTAGCCCGACTCATCCTAATCATGAGCCTCGATGTGTGACCTCCTTGCTGCCCGCCGTTGACTACCTCCCTGCTGCCCAACATGCTATCTATCGTTGCCTACCTCGACATGCGACCTCCCCGTCTCCCAGCTCAGCGTGTCACTGATGGAGTACACTTCTCTTCTTCCTCCTTGTCCTGCTGCATGTCCTCCTCTTCTTCCACCTTCCGGTTCCTCCAGCAAATCCTCTTCTTCCTCCTGTTTCTTCCTTTTCTCCATTGCCTGCTCTTCTTCCTTCCTCTTTGCTACACATAGGTGTACCATGTGTTGGTATGCAATAACTGGTCAGTACATAAAGGTTGGGTATAGTACCCAGCTATAAAATTGGAATCCTTGCTTTCAACACTTCAATAAGGTTGGATAGAAACTTGTAGAAAAGGAAATTTTATCTACAGTCACCTCCAAGATACATAAGAACCAACAAAATAAAAAAGGGCGGTGCTGATACTTGAATACAGGAGAATTGTTCAAGATATAGTTAAGAGTACCAAATAATTGAGGAAACACCTCAACAAATTTTAAACATGGAACCTTATGTTGTATGGATGTATGCATCTTTATTTTGCCAGTACACTCTAAGCTGATAACTATATGGCATGGTAACCTAATATATATCAAAAAGCTCAATATCATAGGGTTCCAGGCCAGCAAAAAGAAATAGAGCACATAAGAGCGTGTCAAAACACCATTGGAATGAAATGGACTTTTGGCATCACAATGTTATTATGGTATCGTTGAAACTCACTGAAATTCTCCAAAACTCAATGCTACCAACCAATAGGCTAAACGACAATTAGTTACTCAAGTAATCTTAAATGATCGATTTTCAATTGCTTTTCTCTTCCCTATCATTATTGTCTACCCATTGTAGTCAAGATCAGCTGCAAGCCAAGATTACTTCATCTAGCTCTCATCCATGCCAAATATGCTCTTCTTAACGTTTCACACCTTTTTAATCTTTTCACAGCATTCATTCCAATTTTTCAGCACAAGATACACTATGAATTTATAATAATTTTCTTTTGTTTTTATCTTATCCCTTTGACACCATTTGCCAGAAGCTTTTCCCAAGAATTAAATTGTTGACCAGCTAGCTATCTCTAAAATCCATGTTTCAGCTAGTCGAGAAATCCAGTCGACCATAAGGCTCAGCATGGTTCCTCTGTCACAATCTCCTAAATGTGCAACATAAACAAATTCTGTTCAGAAGCAGGGATAAAAGAAAAAAAAGCGTCAAAGTGTAATTTTCAGCTTCCAAATCTGAGATAATTTAATACAATTTTTTATTTAGTTTTGATCGTCATCGATCTAATTATTCTATAACCATGACATACAAAGTAGCAGACCTTTTCTTCGACTTCCAAATTTAAGCGCGAGATCGTCACCAAATGAAAGACATGAACAAAACATCATCGATCCCTTTTCAACAGTAATATAATTAATGATAAAAAAGGGACTTCTGTTACGAAGCAAACGTGATTAGCGAAAAACATAACGTTTTCCCAATCCAATATTTCCAATCAGGAAAAACAAAGCACAGAAGAAACTGGTCATTTTCCATTATACTACCCAAAACGCCAAAAATGAAACATCCGTTCCACGAATTCGCAAGGATCGTTCATAATTTACAGAAAGAGACGGCGAGCGGCCAGATAATATAACGTCTTCAAGCAATCGAGCGAGCGTCAAACGAAGGTGGAGGTCTCGGGTGCAGAAGAACTGAAGAAGAAAGGATTCGTACCTGGCCAGGAGCAACGGAGCCGGGCTTGATCACCCTCAAAATTGGGGCGAGAGGAGGGGACTCGAGAGAGAGAGAGAGAGAGAGAGAGGAGGGGAGGTGGT